GGGAGGGGGAAAGCCTGGGCATAAGGCGCGCGGGACCTGCCAGTGTTGTCTGCCGAGGTGGCTCGTATATGGTTGTTGCTGGGAAAGGTGGTGCCACGGGTGGCGGCGGGTCCTGCTCGTCATCGTCCTCTTCTCTGGGATCTCGCCCAAATCCGGCGTGTATAGCTTAATTCCTGCTGGCGCCGGAGCGTGCCCCTTTCGTGTCTCATCAGCGTGACCCTGATATCCCTGACGTGTGGGGGTCTCCCCCTCCCGCGCACTGACGGAGACCTGGAAATGTGTTGGTCGCAGTCTCCTCGGCTGCGAGCTGCCCTGCCAGGGCTTTCCACAGTTGATTCCGCCCCCGATTGGACACCGAGGTTGCTCCAGGACGATTTCTTATCAAGAACCCCATACTATTTCTCTCGGCCTGCGGCCGAGGGCGTCCAGGCCTACAGGTAGCCTGTCGCCGTCAACTACAGCAACTGGGCGGAGTGCCGAGACTGCAGGGCTCGGGGCAGACGCGACAGTGGCCACGAGAGGAGGAAGACGACGACGAGCAGGGAGGGGCGAGGAGGCACAATTGCTGTCCCCGACTGCTTTCCCAAAGGGTAATCATCGCCTGCCATCCTTGACACGTCTCGGCCTTGGCCATCCAATTTCGCTGGCCGAGTGCTGCCAGGTAGACCTGAGGGACTTGGGGGATCAGAAAGAAAGAGTCGATCAGTCACGCAGCGTCTTGGCCTGCCTATACCAACAGTCTCAGACGAACGTCCGTCAGTGACGGAACTGTCTCAGAACATTTCTTGGATTTACAGAACATGTCGTGGTAGGGCTCGAAGAATGTTGAGGCGTTCGGTCTCTGCTGCAAGGAGGGGGGTGTCCCGTGGAGGCGCTGTCGAGGGCCGCCGCGGCGCTGCGGACGGGGCACGAGGCCGGGCCACCACCGCTGCTTGCTCGTTCCTTCCGGTTGCCTCCCCCCTTCCCCGCTTCCCCCCCCCGCTGACCCTGCTGTCTCCTCCTCCCCCTCCTCCCCCTCCTCCTCCTCCTCCTTCTCCTCCTCCTCCTCCTCTTCCTCCTCTCACTCCTCTTCCTCCTCCTCCTGGGTGAGGGGGGGCGCAGGGGAGAGAGGGTGTCGAAGGGGGGATGGGGGAGGGGGTGCCGAAGGGTGCGCGGGGGGGAAGAAGAGAGCTATGGGGGAGGGTGAAGTGAAGGAGAGGCCAGGGAGGGGAGGGAGGAGGGGGGGGGCGGCTTGCCGCCGAGGGGGTGGAGGGAGGCCGCAAAGCAGGCCGCCGATAGGTGCTGTCTTTGCTGCTTTCGGCCTCCAGGGGCCCTCAGCGAGTCCCAGGACTGTCAGAAAATTGATCCAGGATGCATCAGCCCTGGCGAGGTGATCCAGACCTCGGGGGATCGAGGCATCGAAAAAAAGTTGAGCGCCGGATTTCTTGGGCTTCAGGTTCGGCCGGAGACTGGTGGGGACCTCCCAGACGCCTTTGCAAGGGGACCTCCGAGGACCACGGAGCCGCCTGAGCGACGGAAGAAAACGGGGTCGTCTTCGCCGACATTGTCACGTTGTTCGCTCAAAGTCGCGCGTAAGCGCCCTCGCTTCCAGCGTAGCGTGCCGCGCTGCCGGCCCGCGTAAGCCACCGCACAAGGTCGTTTTGTCGTTCACCTGTCTTCTTGCCTCTTCCGCCCGCCCTCCCTCTGTCTCCGCCCTTCCCCGCCTCCCTCATCCCTCCTTCCATCTTCCTCCCTCCCGTCCCTGCCTTCTCTGCCACCTACTCTTCCTCCTCTTCCCTATTCAATCCCTCCATCCTCCCCTTCGTCCCTCGGTCCTCCGTCCCCATCCCCATCCCTCCCTTCCCTTTCTTCGTCATCTTCCTTCTCATGATCCCCCTCTTCCTCCTCCTACACTCCTGCCCCTCACTCCGATGATTCATTTGTGCCCTGTGCCGGCTGCTTACCATAATGCGGCGTCGAGCAGTGCAGCACGCTTGTCGTTGTGCCCGTGTTATGGTGTCTTGCTGTGGTGCTCGTCTGCATTTGCTTACCTGGCCGTACGGAGGCCACGATTGAATTCACAACGGGAATACCACGCCGCGCAGCAGCCGATCTGAACGAACCCCACATTGGTTGGAACCCCGGTTAGAAATTGGAAGGTGCGATCCGATTGTTTATCGTGTTATACGTTTAGGAAACAATTGGCAGTGCGTTGTGCTGGTTTGTGATGTGGAGTGCTGTGATTTTACACAGGCATGGTGGGTATGCATGTTGTGCTGTGGGAGTGGGGTGAGCGTCTGTTGCGCAAATAGAAATACAATCTAGGGGTCCCTCTTTCGCCCAGCATTCCAGCGCAGAGGGTGCAATGCAGTCGAGCGGGCCGCATTGCTAATTGCCGAAAGGCCAGGGGCCACGCTGTGAACAGCAGTGCAAACGCAACGCTGTACAGCAAGTTAGTTTCCTGATTTAGCTTATATGAACTATTGCCAAGTGCCAACTTGCTCCTAGAAACTGCTTACGTGCTGGTGCGGATCACTGGCGTGCAACGTATTTGTATTTGACCATGCGCCCTTGAATGTTATGCACATCTTGCCGACGGCATGATGTATAGTGTTTGGTACTTGCTGCGAGGCAGCAGCGCATCTCGCTGCAGTGTGATGCAAGATTGTTCGTGCTGCACACGATGAAGCTTGGTCTGATTCACTCCTAGGTGCCTACCACCTATCACTGCCAACAACCAAGTCTAGCACTGCGCGACGCAATGCCGCATTGGGCAGCGTAATGAGTTTGGCACTGACCACTGTTGCGCTGGAGGTCTCTGTGGTGTGGTGCGGCGTTGTGGTCGGGTGTGGTGTGCTGCCGTGGTGGCATCTGCACTTACTTCTCAGTGGTTGCGCTGGCCCTGGAGGTATTTGCATTGACTTCTCATTGAAACAACACGGGAAGCGAGACCCAGGATTCTCTTGCAGGCGACCGACAAATCGCAACCCACAAAGCAGGTGGGACCGTATGGCCGACGACAGGAGAATCGCAATGTACAAGTATGTTCGTGTGGGGTCTCTGTAGCTAGCGACAGGGAGAAGGCGGCACCCGGGACCTTGCCTCCAGCGACAGGAAACTTGCAACCAATGCGGCAAGTGGCATTTAGAACCGTATGGTCGGCAACCGGAATCGCAAACAATAAGGAAAGCGGACCTTGGGTTTCATGGTTAGCGACAAGAGAGCCGCAATTCACAAGACGATTTTCCAAACCGTTGAATCGCTGTTTAGTGCAAGCACTGTTTCGGAGACAATGTCGACCCCCTCAGCATATTACGACACATGTAGACGTGATCTGCATCAGGTGTTTCGCGGCATCTTCAAATCCCCACGCAGTCAGTGCACATTCAGTTCAGTATGTACGGTATATGATGCAGGTACATTCATATCATCAGGCGCGGTGCGTCTGGTCCCCTCATGGTTTTGTGCAGCATGTTTTCGGACTCGTTTGATTTCGTTACGCGTCTGTGACTTTTGCGTGCGGGCGTACTTCTGGACACGAGTGTTCGTTCGACCAGAGATCACACACGCTTTGAACGACCAATCGGGTGCACCGTGGCAGATCGATATGTTTCCGACTTCTGTGCTTTCTTTGCAGCAGTGCCAGATAATCCATTCAGGCGTGTCTCAGTGTATCGACGGTGAGTTCGAAACCCTTGAGAAGTCGTAGGTGTATATAGTGTCGAAAGAGTTGTCATGACAATTTATGCCAAGCCACTTGTCTTGCGTCTTCCCCGCTTTCCTTTGACGGAGTTCCAGGCATATAGTACAGTCTGGTTGGGGGAGGCCTTGCGCGTTTTGGGGGTACCGCGGGGGGGTTCTTCGAGGCCGTCTTCGGGGGGGTCCAAGTTTCGGGGGCGTCCGGGGATATTTCTTGGACTGGTTGGGCAGCGTCTTGATTGACCCGACAGCGGTGTGGATGCTTATTGGAAAATATTATTTGTCAGAAGGGGGGAAAACACACAGACATATTTCATGGTCGTTTCCTTCAAAAATATGGGAAACTATGCGAAGTGGGGGGAAGACGAACATCAAAAAAGATATGTGTATTTATGTGTGTATTGTGTGTATGTATGTGTGTGTGTGTGTCCCTGGGCCCCTCCGAGTGGAGCCTCTAAGGGCGGTAAGGCAAAAACACGTGGGAATCTGGCGGGTGCCTTTGTTCGGCGCTGCTCGGGCCTGCGCGGCTGGCTCCACGGGGGCTTCAGGTAGACTGCCGGATCTTTGGGCGGTGCAGCCAGGACGCTCAAAAGAAAGGACCCTTCTGGGCTCAGACAGGGCGGGGCGGGAGATGAGGAGGAGGAGGAGGAGGACGAGGAGGAGGAGGATGCTTCGGGCTGCTCCTTAGACTTGTGTCTTGGGACTTGCTTCTGGCCTGGGCCCGCCTTGGCCAGACACGCCCCTCCGTTCCTCATTTGGGCGCCCCTCTATATGGTTGCACGGCGACTTGTCCGTTTTTGTTTTTGTTGTTGTGTCTGGCGTGGATGTGGAATCTCGGAGCCGCCTCAGAGTTCCTAGGGCCATTTCGGGGCGACGGTGAATTTGTCTGAAACCAGTCTGGCGTGGATGTGCTGTGTCTGGCGTGGATGTGGATCTCGGAGCCGCCTCAGAGCTGCGAGGGCCGTTTCGGGGCGGCGGTGGATTTGTTTGAAGCCAGTCGCGGGCCTTGTGGTCGTTGTTTACGCATTGTCTTCCCGATCGGCACGGGCCCTCGCCGCCCCCCTCCCCCCCCCCTCCCATGGAGTTGATCTAGGTGGGCGCCTGTTTCGAGCAGGTGGAGTCTCCCCCATAAATCGCACTGTTACAAACAGCCGCGCTAAGCAGAGGTCTGGGGCCAGACCCCCCCCCCCTCCCCTTCCCCTCCGCCCAAAGTCGAAACGCAGAATAAAAATGTTCACCTTCTTGAACCCATCTGGGGCGTTCGTAAGCCGCCTCGAGGTCGTTAGGGCCCCCTCGCTGGGAGACGTCGGAAGCTCCAGGGGCCGAAACTCTTGGAGGTCTCTTGAGTCTGTGAGGTTGTTGGGCACCTATGTTGGCTTTTCGGGTGCCTCCAGGGGTCGCTCTGCAGTATTGACAGCCTCGGTTGCCTTCCGGGGCAGTCTTTGATGACATCGTTGGCATTTTGGATGTTGGAGGCCGCTGGGGCCTCAAGGGAGGCGTCGGGACGCCCAGGAAGCGTCGGCAGGGGGATGCAAACGGATGCAACGAACAGTACACCTTAGGCGATGCTTAAGAAAACCTAAGTTTTCGGCCAGAGTCTCGATTATTCTTAATGTTTCAATGTGAATCTTAGGATTTCAATAGAAGTTCTGTTTTTTTTATTCAAGTTCTGAGACTATGAATTTCCTAACCCATGATTTCTTGAGCATTTCGCAGTGTGTAAACACGCCGACCCATACGCTGGTGGCCTTAGAATTTCACAAGGTGGTGCGGGACGCCACTGCAGATCTACAGATGCAAAGACCGACGCGGCAGGCAGACCTCCATAGCTCGATTGGAGGGTGGTATGAACAATTTGCTACATTGCGGCATGTAGTTGCGAGAGCTTTCTCTGGGGAGGTCACTCGGATAGTCTGCCGCGCAGCTAGAAGGCTCGGCTCGAGACAGTGGTCAAGATGGTACCAGGGGAAGTTGGGAGGTTCGGGGGCATTTGGAAGTGGAATTCTGCAAGCAGCTGACACAGCGAATGCTTATCTATGCACGCTGGGAGCAGGTCCGAGCAGTGGAAAGATGGCGACCGCACGGGTGATGATTCGTGAACATCGGGCATTCTTGTTTCCAGTGGTCTCCCCAAGAGCAGATTGGAGGCCGCGCAAGACGAGTGCCCCTTCGGATTCCTGTACCTGTGCACCACTCAGGCGCAGGGGGCTCTCGCCAGCATCAACATGGAAGCGACGCCCCTCCCGCACCATTCATCCAGACCTCTGCTGCCCCACATCTCACCCCTGCACGCCCCTCCCCCACCGAGGTCGCCCATGAAGGTTTCGGTCCTGGGCTCCCCATTCCACATCAGCCTTGCGCCAAGATCATGTGATAGCCCATGCTCGTTTGCGTAATCGGGCACGTTGCGGCCTTTGGTGCCTAGCAAAAGCGTAGTCGGATGTCCCTGCAAGCATCACATTGACTAACATCAGAAGGCAATTGCGTAATCAGTCTTCGTTGGTGGGCCCTGGTATGCGAGCCCACAGTGTTGCAGAAATTGGTGATGCCCTTGGCAGGCGAGATGGTGCGATATTGCGTCTCGCGCCCACAAAGAAGCGGACCTTCTTCCCATTGCAAGTGACAGCCGTAACAGAGGCAGCGTTGATGATGACAACGTCGATGGAGGCAGTTGTAATGGCAGAGGCCGCGCCAAGACGGACCAGTGCTAGGTATCTCGTTGTGTGTTTTGGTGTTTCCGTTGCGTGATTTCTGGTTGGTTCTAGTGCGCAGACGCACAAGACAATCATCGACGTGTATGCATATATAGATGTGTGCTATTGCATGTTTACAAATACATGTTACATTCAATGTGTTTGACGTTCGTTTGACATGTTCTGTGTGCGGGTGCCAGTCGCGTTTCGCAGCCGTTTGCGAACGGCAGTGCTTTGTTTGTACATGAATGGTGCAGCTTTCGGATTTCGGATTGGGATTGCACATGTCTGGCGAATCCAAAGCGCAGTCCGTGCGCGAGACGACATGTGCGTATCATCCTTGGCCGTTCGTGATCGTTTCTGACGCGGTACAGCTTGGTGGCTATCTTCGAACGGCCGACGCTGCTCTTCGTCTTCGTGTAGGCGATTGCACCGCGAGCGACAGGCCGCCTCCCCATCCGGTCGCGCCGGGCAACACGCGTTCCTGGCAGGGGACACCGCAGGCGACAGATCCACGGGCCTCTGCATGTCTCGGACGAAGGATTGCAAAAAAGCCGAAGGATCGCAAAAAAAACAAGGATTGCAAAAAAGAAAAACCAAGGATTGCAATCCTTCGTTCAAGGGTTTTTTGCAATCCTTCGTCCACGGGTCTCTGCATGTCTCGGAGATGGCACTGTTCATCGGTGCTCGGCATGGCGCACATGGACCGAGGCTCGTGGCATCCGCGTTCGTTGCGCCGATCCCCCCTGCCCAGAGCAGCGGCGATCGGTCCAGGCGTTGCCCAGCGCGCCAGATGGATCCGCTGAGCTCTCGGTGCCCCAAAGATTGGGCCGTGGATACGGCCGGGAGGTTCATGACCCCCTTGCCGTATCCACGGCCTCGCGGGCCTGGCCCTCGGGCCGCGAGCGCGGGCGGTCGACTGCGGCGGACCAGGGCCGATTTGTCGCAGCCCCGTCCAGAGCCTCCTGCAAGCGCAAGGCACTCTTCGACTGCACGTGAAGGCCACTCTTGCACAGCCCTGAGGTCCGATATCGCAAACAAGAAGCACAGCATCGGGAAGAGTCACGACTGGAGCCCTAGAGCCCATCGTTCCGCGGCGTTTCTCGAGCCAGATCGTTCTGTGATGGTCCCGAGGCCCGAAGTCGGGTGAAAACGCCCAGTGGGGGAAGATGCATGTTTGTATGGACATTCCTGCGTGTCGCCGGTTTATCTGGTGCAATGAACCTTTAGGTTGCCGCTCCTTCTGCGGTCAGAGGGCCCCCCGCTGTTCGCCTTCGCCTGGTAACGGGAGGGAGGCGAGTGTCCACTGATACAGGCGCCAGGTTTTTGGAATTCATTCATTCGATGCTCGTTTTGGGGACCTTCCTGGGGGCCACCTAATGGATCTGTTCGACGCAGGTTCGACTCAAGTTCGACTCAGGTTCGACTCAGGTTCGACTCAGATTCGACTCAGGTTCGACTCATGTTCGACTCAGGTTCGACACAGCTTCGACGCACGAGTGGAGCGAGTGGCTGCAGGAAGGTCCCCAGAATGAGCATCTGACATTCAAAACCGTTCTATACGTGCCAGCCTTCATGCGGTTGCGAAGTCGTGTTGGATTTTCTCGCCAGGGTCTTTGTCTCCCGTTCCGCAGCCTACGTCGGGGCTCAGCTTGAGTCCGCAAAGGACGATAGCGCTACTGAACTGCACCTAGCGTTTGAGACGTCGGCACCGACGACGACGACGACAAATGCGACGAAAACGACGGAAACGACAGCGACGACGGCGACGGCGACGACGACGACGTCGTTGCTTGCGGCTCCCTCTGCGGTCGGAGGGCCCCCAGCGGCCCCCGGGCGTAGGTGCTCGCCGCCGCTGTGCGCCTGACGGGATCGCTCGAGGGCTGGGCGCGCGCGGCGGCCCGACCCCCCGCGCGTCGCCGCCTCGCTGCCTCGCTCCCCGCCCCAGCCGCCTCCTCGTTCCTCCAGCCTGTCCTCCTGCTCCTGCCCTTGCCTTTTGCGCTCCTCCCGCTCCTCCTCCCGCTCCGCTCCTCGTTCTCCCCCCGTCCACCTCCGCCTCCTTCTCCTCCACCTCCACCTACCCCATGATGTTCCCTCCTCCTCCTCCTTCTCCGCGTCTTCCTCCTCCTCCTTCTCCTCCTCTTCCTCGTTCTCTTTCTCCTTCTCGTTGTCATAGTCCTCCTTGTCCTGCTGCTCGTCCCCCCCCTGCTGTGCCTCGTCCTGCTCCTCTTCCCCCCTTAGCTCCGCACCGTCCTGTTGTCCTCCTTGCGGTGTCAACCTTCGACTCCTCCCTCTGGTCAGGGAGGACTGTCGACTGCCATTGGTGGATTCAGTTCGAGGCGCTTGTCTGATGGTGTTCCAGAGGGGTTCGGAACAGCGTTCCATTTTCTGCCGGGCAGGTATGTCGTCCACAGGGCGATTGCAGACAAACGTGTTTACTATTGACGTGTGTGTGTGTGTGTGTGTGTGTGTGTGTGTGTGTGTGTGTGTGTGTGTGTGTGTGTGTGTGTGTGTGTGTGTGTGTGTGTGTGTGTGTGTGCGTGTGCGTGTGCGTGTGCGTGTGCGTGTGCGTGTGCGTGTGCGTGTGCGTGTGCGTGTGCGTGTGCGTGTGCGTGTGCGTGTGCGTGTGCGTGTGCGTGTGCGTGTGCGTGTGCGTGTGCGTGTGCGTGTGCGTGTGCGTGTGCGTGTGCGTGTGCGTGTGCGTGTGCGTGTGCGTGTGCGTGTGCGTGTGCGTGTGCGTGTGCGTGTGCGTGTGCGTGTGCGTGTGCGTGTGCGTGTGCGTGTGCGTGTGCGTGTGCGTGTGCGTGTGCGTGTGTGTGCGTGCGTGTGTGTGTGTGTGTGTGTGAAAATTTATATGACAAGATTTGAAGCTCGCTGCGCTTCGCTTTACAGTCTTGGCATGGTGCGCAAGTGCGCGGCGTGCGAATCGGTGCGTGTCGGTGGCATGCGGCAGGCTTCATCGGATTAAATGTTCGCCTGCAGGATCGGATGATGATAATGGTGACGATTGCGATGCGGAGGGACGTGGGACTATGATGATGCTGATGCTGATGAGGATGATGATGATGATGCTGATGATGATGATGATGATGGAGGTGGTGATGATAATGATGATGATGCTGATGATGATGATGATGCTGATGATGATAATGCTGCTGATGATGATGATGCTCATGGTGGTGGTGGTGGTGGTGGTGGTGGTGGTGGTGGTGAGGATTGGTATGGTGATGATCATCCTGATGATGGTGATGTTTTGCGTCTGTGGAGATGAGAGTGCACGGGTTGGGAACTTGACGGGGATGCCTTGTGGGAGCGTCGTGGGCGGACTCGGGGGAAGACAGAGGGCTTGAACGCCTGTCGGAGGTGTTGGGTACAGGGGGGCGGGAAAGTGACGGGAGATTTCTGATGAGGGGGGCGTTTCAGGGGTGGATGGCAGTTATGGGGAAGACGCCGTCGAGATGGTCGTTGAGATGAATTGAGATGTGGGTCGAACGGCGTGGAGTGTAGGGAGTGGGGGGGAGGTGGTGTGTCTCCAAGACGGGGAGGCGAGGCAACGTTGCTAGGCGTCTCTGGGAGCCTCTGGGGGCTTCGTCGGGGCCTTTTGGCGCGTGTTGGGGGCCTCGTGGGAGCCTGTTGGGCCATCTCTCTGGGGGGAACCTAGAGGGCTCGGGTGCTGGACGGATGTGTGAGGTACAGGGGCTTGGGAAGGTGACGGGCGGGCCTCGCGGGAGCGCCTTGGACGGAGTCGTGGGGGAGACAACGGGCTTGAACGCCTGTCGGAGGTGTGGGGTGCAAGGGCGTGGGAAGGCAGGGCGTGGGGTGCAGGGGGTCGGGAAGGTGGCGGAGGTCTCCAAGACGGGGAGGCGATGCAACGTCTTGGAGGCTTCGCGGCGGTTCCTTTGAGGCGTGTTAGGGGTCTCTGGGAGCCTCTGGGGGCTTCGTCGGGGCCTTTTTGCATGTGTTGGGGGCCTCGTGGGAGCCTCTTGGGCCATCTCTGGGAGGACACAGAGGGCTCGGGTGCTGGTCGGAGGTGTGAGGTACAGGGGCTTGGGAAGGTGTCGGGCGGGCCTCGCGGGAGCATGTTGGACGGAGTCGTGGGGGACACAGGGGGCTCGAACGCCTGTCGCAGGTGTGGGGTCCAGGGGGTTGGGAAGGTGACGCAAGGGTTGTGATGAAGGGGGGGCATTCAGGGCCAGATGGTAATAATGGTGAAGGCGAGATGGAGATGAATTGAGATGAATTGAGATGTGGGTCGAAAGGCGCAGAGTGTAGGGAGTGGGCGAGGTGGTGTGTCTCCAAGAAGGGGAGGCGAGGCAACGTTGCTAGGCGTCTCTGGGAGCCTTTTAGGGTTTCGTCGGGGTCTTTTGGCGCGTGTTGGGTACAGAGTGGGGGACGGAGTCGTGGGGGAGACAACGGGCTTGAACGCCTGTCGGAGGCGTGGGGTGCAAGGGCTTGGGAAGGCAGGGCGTGGGGTGTAGGGGGTCGGGAAGGTGGCGGGGGTTTCTAAGAAGGAGAAGCGAGCCAGCGGGATCTCTGGGGGGCCTTTTGGCGTTTCGTCGGAGCCCTGACGCGTGTTGGGGGCCTCGTGGGGGCCTCTTGGGTGGCCTCTAGGGGCACATTGAGGGCTCGGATGCCGGACGGAGGTGCGGGGTGCTGGGAGTGGGAAAGTGACGGGGGGCTGTGGGGCGGGGTGTTCCAGGCATTCGGGCCCTCTTGCGGGCCTTTTGGGGCCCTCTGGGAAGCGTTTGGCGGCCTTTTGGAGGGCCGTATGGGGGACCTCCGGAGGGCTCTCGGGAGCGCTGTGGGGGCTTCTCTGGGGCGTCTCCGTAGCTTCGGGGGCGGGGCCACTCGGGGCGTCCGGGGGAGTCCTGGTGGCCCCTCGGGGCCCCGTCGCGGGGCCTCTCGGCGGCCATCTTGAAGCCTTGGAGGTTCAGCGGAGGCGGAATGATCCACTCCCCTTGGGGCAGCGGCGCCCCCGGCTCCCCAAGGCGCGGGAGCCGAAGGTCCAGGGGGCGGATGTTTTCCCGCGCCGGGGAGTCGCCCGGCCCCTCGGGGACCCCCCGGGGGCCGTCCGGAATAACATAGTCCGAAACATAGTCCATGCGTTTTTGAAACGTCTCGGTCTCTCAGGGGCGTGCTCGGTGCCTCTGAAGCCCTCTTGGTGGCATTTCGAGCTGTGTCGAGGTTGCCGTGAGCGATCCTGGGCCGCTCCGCTCGGTCCGGGAGGCCCACGTGGCGGCCCAAGTGGGAGCTCCGCGAGGTCTGGGAGGCCCAAGTGGCGGCCTGAGTGGGGGACAAGAGAGAGCCCCAGGGACCCCTGGACTCCTCCTGCTCCATCTTGCCACCCCCATGCGGCCTCTCCGGGATGTCGGGGGGTGGCCCCCCCTACGCGCTTCGGGCGCGCGCGTGTAGCCCCGGCCGCGCGGACGGCTGCGTCCGACAGGACATCGAGCCGATAGCGATAGCGATAGCGATAGGGACCCCTGGAGCTTTTCGGGCCCGCCATATTCTATTGGGGGGTGGGGGGTCGCCCATCTGTGACTGTTCCCTGGTGTGAGAAAATTGAGATAAGCATGCAAATGTGTACCTATACGCTCCCACCTATTTATAGATTTACAAAAACATTATATATGCATGCATCTATATTTATGGATGCATACCTTTATATGTATGTATGCATGCATGCATGCAAACGTACAGACAGTGATACATACATGCGTACATGCATACATGCATATATATATATACACACATTAGCATGCACACATACATGCATACACGCATACATACATGCATGCACACCTACACATATACCAGCATAACTACGTACATACACACATACACGCACACGCGCAAGCATATCGATCTACCTACCTGCATGCATACAGACATGCACACAACCAAACACGCAAGCAAACGCACCTACGTACATATATGTATATATATACACAGTTACACATACATATGCATACGCATATGCATGCGTACACATGCGTACATGTGCATATGAATGTACACACATAGTCATAGTCATATGCAAGTACATATGCATATGTGTATACATATGTACAGACAGCCATCTACGTACACACACACACACACACACATATATATATATATATATATATATATATATATGTATCGGGCCTTCGGCCTATCGCGTCACCGGGCCTGGGTTGTGGGTCCGAGGCTTCCTGGATGTTCGTTGGGATCTCTTCGGGGCTTCTCGGGGCCTCCTGGAGCCAGTTTTGAAGCTTCAGGGGTGCTGTTTGGGCCTCTCGGGGGCCTGCGGCCCCTCGGGGGCCTCTTAGGGACCTCTCGAGGCGCCTCTCGGGGCGTCTCTTGGGGCGGAGTGCTCGGCTGTTCGGTCAGTGTTCCCTCTCTTGGGGCCATTTTGGGCATTCTTGGGCCGTCTTGGGCTGCTCTTGGGCCTTCGTGGGGCCCTCTTGGGCCGCCTTGGGGCCCTCTCGGGGGCCTCTGTGGCCGTCTTGGGGGCGCTCTTGGGGGCCTCTTGGGACGTCTTGGAGCATCGGAAGCTAGAAAGGTGGAGAACGAATTATCTTGGCGAAGGACCCAACCATATGCAGTTGTGAGCAACGCGTTGTGGGTGCCGCTTTCGGTGGAGCTCCCTATGGGGCCACGGAGCGCGTGAGAGACGTGCCGTAATGGGTGGGGGAGACGCATGCGGGCGGTGCCACTGGGGCCTTCGGTGGGGCTCCCTATGAGCCCCGAAGCGCTGTCCTGGGTGTGGCCGACGCATGCGGGCGGTGCCCCTCGCTGGAGCTCCCGATGAGGCCACGAAGAGCTGTACTGGTTGGGGGAAACGCATGCGGGCGGTGCCGCTTGGGTCTGTCTGTGGAGCTCACTCCGGGGCCACGAAACTCTGCACTGGGTGG